CCTAAAATGTCAGCAGCAGTGGTACTTCCAATTTCAGCTTATTTTAGATACAAGATTTTCTTGTGTTTAACTTGTGAACACTGCTAAGATAGATTTTTATAATTGTGTATGACTAACAGTGGTTTTAGCTAAAGAACATGTGAATCAGTGTTAAATGACACATGAGCCGTGCAAAAATCTGGAATATGAAATTGTATGGTTTCTTGGAGAACAATCTGTTACATCTTGTCTTGTCTTTGATCTTTCTTTGGATCTTCTTCCAACAATGTCATACTGAACATTATTTGAGTTGAGCTCTGTTCACATTACCTTTAGCCAAGCATTAAGTTACACATGGGAGTACTTCTGGCTGTTGGCAGTAATGAAGGCGTACCAAACTCCTGCWGTTTGAGACTCTTTAGCTTCACACATGGGTTGTAAGAGGCCTGAGTCCAGTGGGCCTCCCAGAGATGAAAGCCAGGCAGCAGAGCGCTCACTGCTTCATTTCAGCTGTCATCTGCAGCTTGACTGCGGAGGTGTTGTGGTGCAGCAGCACTGGAAACCAGCTCGAGCAACCCTGTTCTGTAAAGACAGTTAAGGACAAACTCTGAAAGTGTTAAAAAAAAAAAACTAAAGTTTAAAGAAGTATACTAAAAGTCAGTAATGAATGTTTTTTTAAGGTGGCTGCTGCCCCCTGGTGGCTTCCAGTCAAAGGGGCCAACTGGAAGCACCCTGAGGGTCCAGACTCCAACATCACAGACAGGTAGAACACACCTGACCCCACACGTTATTTTAAATCTCTTTGACTTTGTTAAAGAACACACAGGGTTGTGAAGCTGAAGCAAACTCATCCTAATATTGTTGTCTGTGTTTGCAGGATGGATCATCCTGTTGTTCACGTCTCCTGGGCAGACGCTGTCGCCTTCTGCACCTGGGCCAACAAGAGACTTCCTACTGAGGCAGAATGGGAGTATGCCTGCAGGGGTGGATTAAAAGACAGGTGAGATGCCTGTTAATTAAGAAATAATAATACAGAATGTACCAACATGCTTGTGTATGTCTCAAATAAACCACTTTCTCTCCACACAGACTTTACCCCTGGGGAAACAAGTTGAACCCAAAAGGGCAACACTACGCCAACCTCTGGCAGGGGGATTTCCCCGTACTCAACTCTGGAGAGGACGGATACGTCAAAACCTCACCGGTCAGAAAAACAGGACACAACAACAGTTTTCAAGTGTAAAATTTGTTCCAAACAAACAAGACGTTCAGCCAATCAGAGCGACGACACAGTGACAGAGATGAGCAGCAGCCATCTTGGTTGTTTATGAAAGTTTCTGTGCAGAGCTCCTTGTTGCAGTCATCCATCAAACCTGCAACATGTTGGATAAACAGCTGTGAACTTTCTGACAAGTGCAGCTAGAAAAGTGTTTGAGTTGGAGGCTACATGGATTGAACACAGTTTGAATAACTCAATACAGCTTACTAATAACAAATGTTTAACAGTTTTTTTTTATCTTTGTGCATGACTTCCATCAACTGCACACAAAAACAGACACTAAACGTAGCTTGGCTGTATTTATGCTAGTTCATGGAAAAAAATACACTTCTTTTTCCACCTGWTTAAATCATTAATATCAATACCAACATCATTCAACAGATAAAATCCTGAAAATTTTGCATGTGAAAAGCTGTTTTAATCAGAGAAAACTAGTTCTTCATGCGTATTTATTAAACCAAGATATTGTTCTGGTTTACCAGTCTCACATTAAGCTAGAGGCCAAAAACTAGTTGTAATAAATATTTTTCTTAAATAATTAAGATAACTGACTGAGATAACCTGTAAATTGATACATTTTTTGAAAAATCTTAGTTTAAAGAGCTGATTTACTTCAAAACAAATGTTTACATTTGCTTCAGTAAAGCCTTTGGATTTAGATAGTATTAAAAAATAATTCAAATTATTTAAAACATGTTAAATGATTTTATCAGAACTCATTGTTGTAAAACGATCGTCCTCCTTCCCTGCAGGTGATGTCTTTTCCAGCTAATAGTTTTGGTCTGTATGACATCGTGGGGAATGTTTGGGAGTGGACCTCAGACTGGTGGACTGTGCACCACACAACAGACCCGCAGCACAACCCAGTAACAACAACAACAACACACATTAACTTTTCTCTTTTCTTTCCTTTTATTGTCACAAGTTTAATTTTGATGTTGCTTTCTCCTCTGGTGTTTTAGACAGGTCCTCCTTCAGGCAAAGACAAAGTGAAGAAAGGCGGCTCATACATGTGCCACAAGGTAAACTAGGCAAATGGCTCATAACCATCACATGAATAATCTATACCAGGGGTGTCAAACTCATTTTCACTGAGGGTCACAAGAGGTTGATAGTGGTCCTCAAAGGGCCAGTTATAATTAAGTCCATGTTTTGTGTTTAACTTTAACTAAACAGAAAACATCACGTTCCTCGTCTCATCACTATAACTGATGTAWTAACAACAAAATCACTGAGCTCTATGTGGTTTTTCCTGCACAGAAACAAAGCTTTAACACATCCTCTTATAAACACTGAAAACAACTGACTAAATGTGAAATAAATACTACAGAAATACTATTAGTAGTAAAAGTACCAGAGTTTTACTTACTAATGAGTTGTGGTCTGGAATTCTGATTTCTTCCACTTTCCGACAGGACATACACATGCATAATCAGCATGCATATGGGAGATGTAGTTAATGGTCAATGTGGCTTTAAAACAGCTTCTTGGAGACATTAATTCAGGGCTGTTCAACTAAATTGATCGTGGGGCCACAGTTGCTCAAAACCAGCAGCTCAGTTTATTTTGTTGCATTGAATCATAAATTTAAAGTTTAGCATTGTTATAAAAAATAGTTTCATATTAGTGAAATAGTGCTTAGTGAAAAAGAATAATAATAATATTAATTCCCCCAGCTGTTGGTTTTTGTGGGAAACGTTTTTATCTTGCACAGCAGTCCTGTTTGACAGCAGGTGTTAACCCAGACAYCGCTCTGCCATCAGCATTTCTGAGGGGATTACCATTTCTCTCTTCCTGTTTGACAACAGAGGGAAAATCCAGCCTCCTCTTCCTTCCTGGTTTGTGAATAATGAAGCCGGTGGCTGCTGCGTGACTGGGTCAGTGGCTCTGACACAGATGAGCAGACCTGCCACTCACCTGACGGGGTTGAGAACYTGCCAACGTTTGAACAGACATTTTTGAAACCTCAGGAATGCTGTTGGCAGTTTGGTGCGGCAGTGTGGAAAAACTGCTTTAAAACATTTTGGACACTGTGCTTAAAGATTTTAAGTTAGAAAAAAGCTTCTTATACAAGTACTGTAGAGTATCATGTCCTGCATATTTGGCTTTTTTTTTGCTGCATTTTACCATAATGTGTTACTTTGGCGATGTAGCAAACTGCATGCTAAATGAAGTCACACAATGTTTAAAAAGTCTTGTTTAGCTTGTTTCTTGTGTGAGACGAGGRCAGCATTTAGTGCTTGGCAAATCTGGACAAACTGGTTCTGCTGGGGGAARGATGTTACAGGAGCCCAAACTTTAAATGTGAGAAATCTGTTAGCCTGAGGTTCAATCCTGACAGTAATCTCCTCTTTTATCTCCCTCTGTGTGTTTCAGTCTTACTGTTACAGATACCGATGTGCAGCTCGAAGCCAGARCACTCCAGACAGCTCAGCATCGAACCTGGGTTTTCGCTGTGCTTCTCAGGAGAAACAATAGCCTGAGCTGAACTTGAACACAAAACCTCCTCTGCTGTTTAGCTGCTGTGGGTGAACCCATCAAMCCAGCATTTAAAACTGATAACAAATCCAGTATCTTCCAGTACTACTTCAAGGTTGTATGTTCAGAGATGGCATCCTGCAAACATCTGTAATGCGTTTTTGTGCCTTTTCTGTCATTACATACCAGTCGGTCCATTGTCCTCTGACATTAGCAAGGCTTTTCTGCCAACACAAATGCCTCATTGAATTTTTTCTCATTTGTTTTATTTTTCGTCATTCTGACATACCTTCACCACATCTACAGTACATGCCTAAAGGCATTGACTTGCTGCCATGTGATTGWCCGATTAGCTATTTTTACCTATAAAAAGTATTCACCCCTTCTATGTTTATACTTTTATTGCTGTTATAAAATCAACCATAGTCAATTTAAAGTGGCCTTTTTTTCAAAAAAAAATCGACCCCCACCCCCCAGAAAAAGGTGTCAAAGTGAAATCCGAGTAATATCAATTAAGGAAAAAGTATAATGCCAAGACTTTAATGTGGGAAATATTTTATGCAGTCCTTTTTTCACCGTTCATATGTTTATTGATTTTATATTAATCTGTAAAAAAAAATTAATTCACAAGTTTTTTTTTGTTTGCTTGTTTTTTTTATTTGTTTTGTTTTTTGTCAAAAAAGCCAGTTCATATTGACAGTGACTGACTTGAAAATAGCAAGAAAAGTTTTTGTTGTTATTGTAAGCTCAAGACCAGTTAAAGTAAAAACTATACATTTATCCTTGTATAATAGTGTGAAGTTGCTGTAAAACTTCATAAAGATTTTTGCAAACACATCACCCTTCACTTTGGACAAACATTATGAATTGCTCCAGCTGCACATTTTTATTTTAAAAACTTTATTTAATAGTTGTTAATTTTGCTTCACTTTGCAATTCTGCCAATTGTTGAATATTTAAATGCTTTGTTTCTAAAAGCTTTGCCAGTTTTTCCATTCATCATGTAGTGATGAGAMATAACCACCAGGGGGCAGCACGTGTTAATGAATAACTTTTAAACATGTACAAATTGTTTTTTTATATGAACTAAACTGATTTATAATAAGAACTTTGTGGGAGTGAATTGTAAGAATCATGAAACAAAAAAATCCACACAAAACTCACAGCTTGCATCACAGAGGAGTGCTGAGAATACTTAGATTTAAATAATACAATAATTATAGAAGTGCAAAGAAGTAGAAACTAATAAAAAATACAAAGGAAATATCTGCAAAAGAACATAAACTTTATTCATCATGACTTATTCAATATACATGTTGCATGTGGCGATGGTAAACTAAACAATTAAAGAAAAAGGCTTACCAAAGTTTTAAGCAAATGAAGAAAGTCAGACTTTTCTAGTGCACCTAAACAAACAAAAAAAGTTAAGTTTTGACAAAATGTTTGTATTTCTATTATTTTTTAGCAAACTAAAATTCTACTTTTACGCAGTGTAAATTGGAAAGTTCAAAGGTATAGTTGATACATTACTGCACAACTGCTAACATTAATTAGACGTTTCAACGAGTCTAAACCCTGCTCTCAGCTTTTAAATTGAAGTTCTTACAAACCTCTTTTTCTATCAGTGCACAACAGATTGACCGTTTTACAAAACAAAACTTTTTTTTCTACAATACCTCGCAAGAAGATGGTTTGCTCCTGCTGCAAGGATCAATAATCCAAAATAAAACTAGTCCCAAAAATGCACCACAGAAACAAAGTAGAGCAACTAAGACAACCTGAAGGCTAAATACAGCTGCCATCTCGGAGAGTCCAAACAAAAAAAGAGATCAAACAAAAGGCGATACGCTATACTAATAAAAAATCTTGCTCTCGATCACTCTGCTTCTCATTAGCAAAGCTCATATTACAAAAAAACATTTGCAACTTTGTTTGACTTTTGCACCAAAATGGCAAAAGAGTTTCTTATTGTGCTGCTGGAGAGGACGTGAGCCTCTTTCAGTGTGTCCTCACCACATATAATAACTACGTGTGGTGTCGACAGGAGAAGGTTTCCCCTCTGTGCTGCCATCTTTGTCCTTCTCGCCATCAGCCTCCCACAGGTTAATGAGTGGAGGGTAGAGCTCATTAAGTGGGATGGAGGAGGTCTTTAGCATGTATTTCTTCAGGGAGTGGTGGTAGTTTTTTCTTTTCCATCTGCGTGCCATGTAGACGCCCACAGTGGCCAAACTGATAAAGGCCAGCATGGTCGACATGGCCGCCAGCACGGCCACGCTCGGGTGCTGGTCCGACAGGTCCAGGGCAAAGGTGGCACCGCGTGTCGTCACGTTGACGCAAGACTTGTGTGTCTGCAGGTGGATGTTGGAGACTGTGAGGCATACTTCGTACTCGGTGGCTGGTTGAAGGTGCGTGAGGTTGTACTCGTGCACATCGACCGGAACACGAGCGGTGTAGGTGATGTGCGGGTTGTCGATCTTCATGGTGGCCGAGGCCCACTTCAAGTTGGAGGACAAGACGTTGGAATTGACTTTCCATGACACCAGGATAGAATGGGACTCGGTCTGCTTGACGTAGATTTTCATCACCTGAGCGCTGTCGAGCAGAGTCCCGTTGACGCGGATTGTTGCGACCCAAGTGTCTGCGCCTTCTGTGTTTTGTGCCACGCAGGTGTAACGACCGGAATCTTCCACCTGCATGTGAGAGAGATGCAGAGTTCCTTCACTGCTTAAGTGGTATCGCTCAGACAGAGTGTCTGTTGTGATTTTGTTACCCAGAGGGGTCACCCAGTAGATCTCTGGTTCTGGTTCAGCAATTGCCCGGCAGTCCAGGCTGACACTCACTCCCAGCTCAAGGTTCAAGTGACTGGGAAAAGTGTCATGCGATATGAGGGGGAGACATTGCTCTGGGGACTCCAGCAGCTGTAGTTCTCGAACTCGCTGGCCTCTGAGTTCTGGTGGGGAGGTGCAGAGCATGGCCAAAGGCTCCATGAAGCGCACCGTGGTCCGGTTGGAACTCATCCACTGTATCACACAGTCACAGCGCAATGGATTGCTGTGAATACTGATCTCCCGCAGGTTGGGCAACACCTCCACCGTGTGCTGGTAAAGACCAGTGAGAGCATTGTTGTTCAGCATCAGGCTCTCGAGAGACGGCATGTCCCTGAACGCCAGTCTGTGAACGTAAGAAAGCTTTGGGTTGTTGGTGGCCTCCAGTTTTGTCAGTTCTGGCAGGTTGTCCAAAGCATATCGATCAATAGACACCAACTCCATCATATTGTTAATGCCCAACTCCTTAAGATGCAGCATGTTTCTGAAGTCTCCTTCCTGAAGTTTTAGAACTGGGTTTTTGTTTAGATCCAAGAATTTCAGATTGGGAACTTTTTGAAGGGCCAGTTGGGGGATTCTGATCAACTTGTTGTCGTAGAAAGAAATGCTTTCCAGATTATCCAAACCCACAAACGCATTCGCTGGAACATTTGTGAGATCCATTCCTGCCAGAACCAGACTCCTCAGGCTTCCTAGAGGCTTAAAGTTCAAATCCAGAAGGCCAATAACTGGGTTCTCCCCAATCATGAGGATCTCAAGATTAGGTGTTTCTTCGAACCAGCGGCTGTCTATCACATGGAGCCTGTTTGAGTTGAGATGGAGCCTCAGAAGACTGCTCAGGCCCGCAAAYGCTCGAGGGGAGATGGTGCTGATCTGGTTGTGGTTGATGTAAAGCTCCTGAAGGCTGGAGAGGTTTCCCAGGCAGTGGTCTGGCAGCTCACTAATGTGGTTCTCCTCCAGATGCAGGGTGGTCAAGTGGTTCATGTTTATGAGGCCCACAGCTTCTACTCTGGTGAAGTTGTTCTGGGACAGGTCCAGTTCTGTCAGATTAACCAGAGCCTGCAGCTCTCCGCTGGTGTGAGAGATGGCATTGCTTTGGAGCAGCAGAACCTGGGTGTCTGCTGACAGGTTGGTAGGGATGTGCGTCAGCTTCAAGTCATTGCAGTCCACTGTTGTTGACTCCTTGTAGGTTGACTGYGGGGTAAACCATGGGCGGATCTCGCACACGCACAAACGAGGACACTCTTTACCATTCACAGGTGACAAGAAAGCAAGAAGAAATCCCATGCAGAGCAAGGTTAGAAGAGGCCAAAGCTGGGAGCTGGGCGCCATCTTGGCTGCTTACAAACCAGATTTAGATGTGAGGCAGTGTTTGCATGAAGGGGATGAGAAGACAGTTGGCAAACATGAGTCTCTTTTGCTGCTAACTAGCTGACGTATATCCAAAACGAAGATCCTTAAGCCAGAGGAAGGTCAGTATCACCCTAAAATAAAGAAAGCAGAACAACTATTAAAGCAAGTAGTTTTTATAGTTTTAAGAAAGTCATAATACAGGAAAATATAACTCAGCTATAAAGAAGCGCTACATTTTTTAATGTATGCTTTCCATTACCAATGTTTTTACATTTTACCTAGAGGAAATGTGATGATCATGAGCAATTTTTGCCACTTTCTAAGATAAAAGCATTTGTTTTAGTTTCGCATCCTGGATGACTCTGTTTCCCTGGAGATTCTGAACATGTTTTATTGTGTCTCTTTTGTCCTAATTATTCAGTGTTTCCCCTACCGTTATACACTTTGTATACAGAACAATATAGCCTACTTATTAAATTATATTTTATTGAGATTGTTTTGGACAACCAAAATGTTTGAGGACAACCAGATTTTGTCAAACCCCAACATGAGAGGCCACCACCATGGTAAAAAAAAATCTTTGGGGAAACTCTGCTGAGTTAAAGTTCTTCTAGTTCTAATGATTATTAGAAAGGACATGATTTGAGGTTTTTACTGATAACATTTTATTTAAAACATGTTACAGAAGTCATAAGAAGCAGGTTTATTTTGAACAAACATTACAAACGTGTTCACTCCTACAAAACTGTCAAATAAATTTACAAACAACACTAAACTGATTCAGATTAACATAAATAAATCATGTTTCATAATTAAATGTCTGTTTCCTGCTTTAAAGAAAAATACTCTTCCTGTCCTCCATGTTCCTAATCAGGGTCAGGGTGGGGCTGGAACCTGTCCTCGCTGCCTTTGGGTGAAGGCAGGGGACACCTGGACAG